GAAGATATCTGATTACCTAACAAGGTCACTTGACTCCAAACTCATTTGTGGGTTCAGCGAAGCAATTCCACATTTTCACATGCCAGCATTTTAATGTTAGATGTACGCCTTCCTGAACTAGTTAAACGTTAAAGATCAGCAGTTTTGCCTCTTGGAGCTATGAAGGCAGCCTCTTGCCTCTCATCCTAGCCCACAATGTCTTAACAGCAAAGCCATCTAGAGGCACTCCAACAGATCACCGGCTTAATTTTCAAAAGCTCCCCATCACCACTGAACAACTGATTACACTCAGATCCTTATCAAACTAATGTCCATATCAATATTTGCCTTATCAGTTTACAAGCATATTTGTTTTCAAAAGCAATTTGATTACACATAAAGGAAGCTATATTTGATCATTAACTATATTAACTCAGTTATCCATGTAAATATAGCACGAGAGAGAAATTGTTAAATAAAGTCCACAAATATTATAAATTCATTATTTACTTAAGAAATTATAACTTCTTGAGAAGTTAAATGAAGTTAAGAAATCTTAATTTTAATCTACAACCAAGGCTTGATGAATATCACTGCTAAACCAAACCAAGACAAACCAGCCAGCCAATCAACCAACAATATAAGAACCTTCGCAGCATCCACAAGTGCACACAGCTCTTTTGCTTCCCACGCAGCTTTGACATTCGTTCTAACTTACTAATCAGATAAGCACTCACAGTCAACAAGCATCTAGGTTACCCCATTTGTTGTAGTCTATACAGAAAGGACACATAGGTGTAGCTTGAGAATAAGGAGAGCTGCATCCTTACATCAAAAACTTAAATCCTGACTTTTGGGTCAGGTACATATACAGATCATATAAATATTGGCATATATAAATTAAAGATAGACATCAATACATGTATATCTCTGTGGAGATGTTGTATCAAATAGTAATTCAAACTAAGAGTATCGCAGTTTTGACGCACAATATGGCAGTATCTATCAGAATTACAAATGCACATATCCTTTGATACAGTAATTCTAGTTCCAGAAATTTACTTCAGATAGAGTCACACATGTGTGCAAAGCCATAAGTACAGAGATGTTATTTGTAGTCATGTCTATAATGGTAAAAGCTGACAGGAAAACCTAAACAAATTTCCATTCTTATTCATACACCCCCTGTCCCCAATTTATTTACTTACTATGTTCCAGGCACTGTATCAAATGATATTTACCTATCCACTTATGTATCTATTATATATATATGTAAGTAGATACATTATACATGTATAATATTATATATAATATATATCTATTGTATATATTGTGTATATATATTCTATATAATATATATCTATTGTATATCTATTGTATATAGTATTGTATATACTAAAGAGAATGTAGTATTCTCTTTAGATGATTGCATTTCTCATTTTTCACCTGGATGATCTCATGCAATACAGTGTGTAACAACCCGGGTGTGTGCTGCTGAGAAGAATAAATAAGGCTTTTATTTTCGGAATGTTTGCATGAACACTTGTGCCAAATGTCCGACAGGACCTCTCTGGCCTTCCACACAGGACTTCCTCCCTGCCACAGGACACCTGGTGAGAAGACTGCGTCTCCCTGCAAGATTCCAGAGTCCCGGTTCCTCGAGGGAGTCAATGCAGAGCAGACACACTTCCTAAAGTTTGCCAGCCCCTCGGAGCAGCACGCTCCTGTGATGTCCTGTCCCATTCTACAGTGGCATCAAGGACTATGGCCTCCAGCCAGATTTGTGACATTTTGTGGTTGTCTACTTTATTAAACTCTAGATCTACTGAGCTCCAGATTAGTAGAATATACTCTCATTGACATTTCTAGGCTCCTGGATGTGCCAACAAATGGGTTTGGAGATTTTATGAACCCCCAGAAATATTGAGTGTGTATAATATACATATTTATGTATATTATATTATGTATTAATTATAATGTACATGTAAGTTACATAAGTATGCTAATTACATATAACACAAATAATTAACTGAATTCTCAAAGACAATTGTAACATACCACAAGAAAGAAAATTAGAAATCACTAGTTTAAAGATTCAAGTCTCCACTTTAGAATAAATTTAAGTGGCATTCATAATTTACTTAACTTACCTTCTGTGAAGTATAATAACTGACTACTCTGAAATTCTAAATGCATTTTTAAAATTTTACTTATTTGACGTCACAATCATTTAGCACATTAAATGGCTTTTAACTAGTCCTGGATTAGATGTTTTGGAAAATAAAGCCTTTGGTAAATAGCTATTATCAATATTATACACTCCAGGCCACCTAAGAGGGATTTCAGGAAACATATTCCAGATAATTGGAAGGGGATTTCTGGAGATAGAAATCCTCACGTGACTCAAATTAAAACAGAAAATGCTTTCCAAGTGTCTGCCTGTGTGGCAGTACGTCACAATTCCGCCAGTGCTCTCTAGTGCAGCCATAACAACACTCCAGGCTGGAGGTCACTCACAGCAGGGGCACAAGAAGGACCGCATGTTCTAGGGCTAGATGGCCTGCGTTCAAGTCTAGTTTCATCACTTTCTGGTAGTGTGACTGGGAAGGTACTTGACCTCTCCAGCATGTGATTTCTCCATAAAATGGAAGGTGACCACACAAGTTTTGTGGCAGTGATTTAATGAAATAAACCAAGGACCTAGTGCATAATAGATGGTAGCCATTATTGTCCTATTACAACTCAGTTGACACCTATTTATGCATACTGTAAAAATGATGATGATGAGACCTAGTGATGAGACCACATTCTTTCTGATGGGTTTGTTTATGACCAATATAGAAGACTAGGTGGCCAGTTGTAAGCATTTATTAGTTTGTTTATCTCAGAGGTAAAAACAGGATTAACAGACTATGGTAAATGGCTCAGGCAAAAGGACATAACCCCATAGGCAAATCACAAAGGAATTTGAAATGAAAGTAAATTCTGTGTGCCCCCTTGGAAGTCAAATATCCTTTGGCTTATTGAATGTAATAATTTGACAAGAGGAAGAAAGGAGGCTGGTCCTGGAAGAACTGATTTACATCTGGCCTGAAAGCAGCAGACTGAAGGAAAATGTCTCAAGCCCAGCTCCACACAGCCCTTCAACTCCTGGCTGATTTAGGAAGGTTTCTAACTGGGCTGGACATGTGGGTTTACCGGGACCTCCCTAAACTAACGTTGTACAAAATTCTGTGCCAGTCTAGCAACACTAGATGGAACCCCACTTTTGAGAATGATCTTATTTCACGTATTTTAAAACTTCTCACAAAACCTTGTACTCTGGAGTTTCTCAAGTCAGTTTTTGATGATTTGAATGGAAATTCCTGTGCCAAATTGGAGTGGTAGAACGTGGTTTATGGGACTCCTTAAGAAATAGATGGGTTGCTTCTGGCCCGAACGGAACTGTGGCTGTACTTAAGGAGCCCAATTCAGTCTGCGCTTTCTCCAGAAAACTATCAGAGTTTATAAGCATCAGTTATGCAGAATTTTAGAATCTCTTCTATTTACCCTTTATTTTTAGAAGTATTTCCTTCTAGCGCGTGGATTGTAATTGGAATCCTATCTCTGTACCTAGAGTCTCTAGAATTGCCTTAAAACATGGCTATTTGGATTAGGATTTTCAGAGTATCATGAAGCACAACTTCAAGGCATGCCTCGTGATGATTTCTCCTGCCATAGGATCAAAGCACCCCTTATAAGCCATTCCAAACCCTACATCACATTTTTTTTTTCTCCTGCACTGAGTCCAGGACTAGCTTCAGACAAATCTGCAAAACACATTTCTATTCCCTTATACTTTGGTTCTGTTTTCATGTACAACTTTCTGTTGCCGATCTTGATGGGGAAACAGTTTTAGATATTTGCTCAGTCCTTTAAAATTTTTCAGCTCTTTCACTTAGGCTAGTTTTTCTTACCACCACAAAACCTCAGTAAGTGAGCATAAATAGCCTATTGTAGAGGTGAGGAGACTGAGGCCCAGAGATGTTGGGGTGTGTCTGGAGTTCCAAAGCTGCCTGGAGTCAAGTAGTTGTATGTCCTGACCTTGCTCTCCATGCCTATTTCTCTGATGCTCATGGTAATCACATAACAGTGTGAACTAATGGAAACCGCTCTTTGCAGGCTTTTATGTTGAGCGTCTTGGCCTGGTCCATGAAGTAATCCGTGGGGTGCAGCTATTGCTTTGGAACCTGACAGATTAGCCTGACTCCTGCCGCCAACTCTTACTCATTGTGAGACCCTGAACATCCTATTAATCATCTGTAAAATGGAGTAATATTAACTTGTGGGCAGTCAGAAGGAGTAAAGGAAAGTGACATCTATCCCAGTGCTTGGCTCACTGTACACATCCAATAAAAAGTAGGAAAAGTACAGTCATTCCCAGCAGTGGAACTGTGTCCTCCTAGTTACCAGTCTAGGTCTCTTTCTTCTAGGCCACTTGTTTCCTAAAAACAGATTTCAACCCCTCTACTCTCAGGGTCCTCCAAGAAAATGGGTCTCAAGATTAGTGTGCATAAGTCACTTAAGTATCTTAAGAGGCAGATTTGATTTAGCAAGTTCCGGGTGGACTTGCTAACAAGCTCAGGTGAAATCAGTCCTGCTTTTGAACCACACTCTGAGAAGAGAGAATGTATCCAGTGAGCTGGCCTTAGGACAAGATTCTTCAGGACCAGTGGTTCTCAGACTTCACAATTTATCATAATCACATGGAGGGCTTTTAAAATAATAAAACAAATATTGTGTCCCACCCCGGAACAGGTCTGAGGTGGGGCCATAAGGTGTCATTTCTAATAGGTTCCCAAGTAATGTTGATCCTGCTTGTCTGGGGACTACAATTGTTCCACGCTTAGCACGGGGTACTGAGGGTACTGAAGACCAGTGATTACGGACTTTCTTGAGTAAGGCCCCTCCAAAGGCTTTCCCATATCCTGCTCCCTAACCAATCCCCCACCCCTCCTGCGACGTTAGCAGGCGCCAATTACCTTGTAGACATTGATGGGGATGTCAATGATGATGTGCAGGAGGTCTCCCAGAGCCAGGCTGGCTATCAAGATATTGGGGCCGTTTCGCATGCACTTGTTCTTGTAAATGATTCTCAGCAGTGTGGAGTTTCCGATGATGCCCAGCACGAACACTAGGCAAGACACCACCGTGTTGATGTACTTGAAAGTCTCTTTGATCTCGATGGATTTCTCGCATCGGGAAGGGGAGAGGGTGTGAGCCGGGGCTCCAGCCGGCTTCCCTGCCTTAGGCATCTGCGGAGGTGCTGACGACCATGGCACACTGGTGTTGGACCCAGTCGGCCAGAAGGTCTTAGCGGGGGGCGTCGTTATCTCTCCGGTCCCAAAAAGTGGCGGAGTGGCCCCTGCCATCGGGAATCCTGTCTCTTCTCCCGGGACCTCCGCCACGCCGCAAGCAAGGATCAGGGCCACCAGGGCGCATCCGCACAGGCTTGGCAGCGGCTGCATGCTCCTGCCTGTTCCAGTGGGCGTCTGGTGGCCGCTCCGCAGCTTTCCCTCTGGAGACCAGCAACGGAAGGAAGACAGGACACTTGGGTCGGTTACCTTAGCCACGCCCCTGCAAACCGCTAGCTCAGAGCGCAGCGGCGCCGCAGCGATCCCCGCGCAAAAGTAACTCAAGTTTGCGCGCCAGTAAACAGGCCAGTATGACCTGCCCTCGTCCGTCGACTGTCCTTCTGGAGCCAGCTTTTTGGATCGTTTTACTCCCCTGCGTCACCCTCACCTCCCACCCCTCAGAGGTAATGACCGGCAATGGGGCGGGGCATTCTGAAAGGGGTGTGCCAGGGAGGGAAGGATGGGAGTCCTAGGCAAATCTTGGTGTGCCGGGAGGAAGCGCACACGGTCTGGCTGAGGACGCTTGCGACGCGGGAATCTAAGCGGCTAGAGGGGAATGGCCTCTGCGATTCTCTGCATTTCGCTCCGCTGGGAACCCGAATACCCTATCAATAACCGAGACTCCTCCTGGTGGGCGAAAGCCGCTACTCCCCAGCTGCCAGCGCTCAGATTCCCCGGCGCCCGCAGGAGTGCACTGGCTGACTCGGAAAATCTTGGAGGCTTCTCAGTTCCGTCCGACTTGGAAAGACCCATCAGCATTAACAAACTCCTATTCCTTCCAAGTGGCTTCAAACATTCACACTCCCTCCTTTACTCCAACCTCAATTCCTGCGTCCAACTGTTTTTTGGTTTTTTTTTTTAACCCCCAAGCTAGTAGTCTAAGCTAAAGCCCCAAGACAAGTTTCAGTCACTGATTTTAATTCAACGCGAAGAATGTTTACCTCTTGATGGGCTGCACCAGGTGCAGAGAGTGACCAGAGGGGACCTCCTCCTCCGGTCGCGCTAGGTTCACAGCTCGGTTCCTCCCTCTCCGGGAACAGAGGACGCGTCTCCTCCCTTCTGCTACAGGCGGGTCTGGCTCTAACGAAAGGCTAGGGAATGCCAGATCGCGTAGCCTCCACAGTTTCCTTGGGGTCTTTGCTGTCGCTAGACAAGTACTTTTATTCATTCATTCCTTCCCCACCAATCACCCGCGCGCCACAACCTTTCTCCTTGGACAATGCCTGGACAGCATCAGCAGGAGCTGCCCGCTGGAGAGGGCAGTCAGTCCCCTGCGCGTCCCGGAGGGCAGTTTATTTGCCGTAGTTGCGAGCTTCTCAAACCACGTGCGTAAATCAAGGTCAAGTTTCTACGCACTCGGTGACGTGCTTGGGCTCCACACTAGGATAGGGATCTGTATTAAACGTGTTAGCGTGGACTTTTACTGCCTACTGTGACTCCCTTCCACCCCCCATTAAATACCCCACGTGATTTCTAAGACCTGGTTGGCTTGGCGTCTAAGCCCTTTGCTCTGGTTTTGTTTTGTTCAATTTCAAGTCCACATCGCCCCTACCACTGCAGCGCGCTTCTAGATGAAGCGTCCTTTCTCCCAGGGCCCTCTCACTGACCTAGGAGAGGACAGAAATTTCTTTTATTTATTTTTTTTAATAACCCAGCAGCCGCTATTCTCTCTTCCTGCTCTGCCCTGAAGTGTTATTGTCCTACCATTCAGGTACCTGATACCTATAAGGAACATGAAAATAATCAGAAACTTGCCATTCAAATTCATGATGATATTTATCAGGCAGAGCCATAAAATAGATTCTTTCTACCCATTCCTGAACTCCCTTTTTATGGGATGGGGATAATCAGTAGAGACTGACAGTTTTGCTCAAAGATTGTATGAAACAGAAGTCAGGAATTCAGGCTCTGTGGTGCACATTGGATATTACTCTGCTGTCCTCCAGTCACTTGGTTTCATCTGTGAAATTTCAGAGGCGTGGGGCAGGGCGGGGGGCGGGCATTTCCTGCAGCAGCAACTCACCTAGAGGCTGGGTGGCCGGTTCTTGGCTTCCTAGCTAGTCAAAGGCATGGGGCGAGACAAGAATTTAGAATTTTTGATTTCTGTGCAATGTCTTCTGGGGTAAGAGAAGTAGAAACTCAATTTCTATTTAAAAAGATGAACTTTAAGTGTGAAATGTGGTCTCAAGAACATGATTAAGAAATAAAGCGAAAGGAATGAGAAATATGGTCTAGGGTTGTGAGTGCTAATTCCAGATCAGGCTATTTTGAGAGCAGTACTTATCCTCCCTGTCTGGGTAAAAACAAGGTCAACGTTCAGTTGCTTCAGAGCTGAGCCAAGGAACAATATAGAGTGCTCTGTAAATGAGGAATGAAAAGAGTGCTCCATACATTCATTTGGAATATGAATAATTCGCTCGGTTTTGCACCTGCCTTCTTATACAAGCCTTCTCCTCATCATTTATAGAGTCCCTCATCACCACCTGTATTCACCCTTCCCCCGCCCAGTCTGGGATGTCTCTTCTGAGCCTCACTGAGATATGTCTCTTCCCCTTTCTCCTAGCACTGTAGGACTGTTAAACACAACTGAGCACTTCATCACATAAAGACTTTTATGGGCCACTGTTGATTTCATGCGAATTCATTTCTTTTTCAAGATAGGATCAGAATTGTATGTTGTTTTGGTACCATCACAATACCTTCCATAAGCTGAACTGAAGAAATATGTTTTTATAGATTTGATAACCATGTTTTAAGTTATTTAATGATATTTTAGTAACTCTAGCTACTGGGCTCAAGAGCAAAATCAAATAATTTTCAGATAAACGTACACGTTTCTCACCTGGAGTTTAAAATACAATATCGGCTACCTATTATAGGGTCTACTACCTACATTAGGTGCCTCATTTACAGGATCTCATTCATTCCCTCATAGCAGTCTTTGGGTTAGGAATTGTTTTTCATGACTTTTTTAAAAAAATTCTCACCTGAGAATATGCTTATTGATTTTAGAGAGAGGGGAAGACAGAGAAAGAGAGAGGGAGAGACACTTCTATCAGTTGCCTCTCATACATGCCCCGACCCAGGACTGGACCCACACCCTTTCAGTTTAGAGGATGATACTCCAATCAACTGAGTTACACCAGCCAGGGTGTTTTTCATGATCTCAGGTAGTGAAAGGAGTCTCAGAAATTCACACAAGGTTGCATGGCGAATTAGTTGCTGAGTTATGATTTGGAGCTAGGATTTGATTATTTGATTATACAGACAATGCTTTGATTAATTTAATTACGTAAAATCTAAACATTTTTTCTTATTTTGAGAAAACAGTCTTGTAGACATCATTAATACTTAATTGAAGTTTCACTTTAAATTGAGTGAAAATGTGAATGTTTTAGTGTTTGATCCTCATGAATGACCTTAATCAAACCACCAGAAATTGAGTCTCAGTTTCCTCATTTGTAAAATAGAAGGGAAGGATTAGATGATCTCTAAAGTTACTTCTTGCTCTAACACATCAGTCTGACAGACAAATTAACTGACCTTGAAGAGCAGAAAAATAAGACTAGGTCTTAGGACACACCCTTTTCCTCCTTTTTTATTTCTCTACTTATGCTTTGGGCAAAACTACTACAGGTACAAGGTATTTTCACCTTATGACTTAAAATCCTTTGATAAACTTTATTTGTAAATTTACCAGTAGTTAAAGTACTGTATAAATTTATTTATAAATAGAAGCCAGTGATTGTATCAAATTTTAATAACCCTTTACTGAAAACTTTTGAGTTTGAACTAATTTTGTATTTAGCATTTATGAAGGTTTTTTTGGGTTTTTTTGTTTTTGTTTTTGTTTTTTTACTTTGTAAGTGTGAACTGTTTTACAAAGTTACTTTTAGAATGACACTTTCTGAAGTGCCCTAGGAGCTATATCAAAATCCCAGATTGGCTGAGGTCACACATCAAAGACAGAAAGGGTGGAGGACAATGTCCCACTATCCCTTTTAAATGCTTTAACTAGAAGGTCCTGAAGACATGGTTGAATGCACTTTAGAATTCATTCCTCAAAGAGCTTTGCCATGGGGAGCCTGCCCAAAGCAAACCTTTTCCCCTGGTAAGAGAACAAAGAAAAGCCCTTTTAGCCACAAAAAAAGCTAATACTTTCATGTAATCCCCTTGATATAAACGTACCCTTCGAAATCTACCTTGCATCCTCTGAATCATGAATGTTGAGGGACAAGGTGTGTGAAAAACACAGGAAGAGTTGCTTCAATTGCTTCTCCACACATTCCCCTAGGAACAGATCCAATGATCAAATAGTGGTTGAAGTAAGAACACAGAGATTTAAAAGGACTGCACAAATCAATAGGAAACGGCCTGAACATTTCTATTGCTTGGATTTTCTCTTCTATTAAGTGCTCCTTGGGCTTTATGGTTAAGGATGTTCTTTTTATTCTTTTAAAATTAAGATATGATTCTTATATAGTTAAATGGGCAGGGCATAAGTGCACAGTTTCAAGAGTTTTGACAAATGTGGGCATACCTGTGACCCATACTTAACCAAGCTTTTATGAAAATGCATTTATTCTTCTAAAGTAGCAAAATTTGAAATGTTTGGATTTGGATATTATTTCTATTAGAATTTTAATGAAGACAGCATTTCTGCTTTGACTCTTTATGCTTACTATCAGCTCTGCCATAATTCATAAATTAGAGAATCTAAGATTTGAAACTATATCGATGGTTGCCTGATAGTCCTAGTTTTAATTCCTTCCCCTAAAGTCATGAAAATTTGATAGACTTATAGTAACTAGAAATAAGATGTACTTAGTTCTTTTCTGCTTACAGAATATATGAGAAAGAGCAAGGCCATATGTTCTTATTCTGTCTGAAAAAAAGCAGCATAGTTCAGCTACTTCCATTAGTAGGCTATAGTCTACTTTAATTAAAGGACTTAATTAAAGGCTTTGCTCTCTGGTTTATGGCTTAAGTAATTTTTATATTCTTTTCTTTAATGTACTTTTTTCTTTTTACACCAACATTGGTTAAAAAAAAAGGAATATAACCTGGTCTACAAACTCTTTAAAACTATTCTCAAGAGCTCTTTGGCACAACTTAAAAAATGCATCAATGTTAGGAAGCCTGGTCTAAGCAGGCAATCCAACCTGCATTTTCTTGCTTTGTCAGTGCACACTTGATAGTTATGTAAATTATGCTTAGGCTATTCAATCATAGACAAAATACTACTATTACTTTATAGTAGAACAATTTGATCATCTGTAAGGTACTTCTTTGAGAGATTGTAATTTCATATGGGATATAATTTATTATGAGTTTATGGATCATCTCTTCTATTTTCTTTAATTTTCACCTTCCCTTATTTCCATTCTTTTAATATCCTAAAGGTGTCTAAAGGGATGTGAAATAGTCAAAAGAAGTTAGAAAGAGAAGCTTGGGGATTTAACAGTCTATTGTTGAACAAAAGAGAGTTGCTATTTCTTTAAAGAAAGAAAAAGTTTTTTTGGAGTACAAAGTAGAGTATTCTATGAGACAAGAAAAAGAAGAATTTTTACAGAAGGATTTTTTTTTTAAATAAAAAGAACTGCATTTAGTCAGTGAAATATTTTTATTTCATTTCTGCTAATAATAAAGATCTGGATTTTAATGAAAATATTTTCAGTTAAAATCTGCCAACATCTTTAAAAAGTGTCCTATCCTTTGAGATCTAGTTGTAGGAGAATAAAACTCCTTGAACCAAAATATGAAAGTGATTTTCCTGGAAGTTTATTTACTGTATATTAGATGAATAATTTGTTCTCCAGTCTAGTTACCAATAAATAGCTCAGAGTTTTGGCATGGCTTTGTCAAGGTAAGGGGTCATCAGGGGCTTTCAAAGCCATTCCCAATTTCATAAAGCTGTGCCTGGTCACCTCCCTTAGAGATGCATGTGCAGGAAATTGCCTCTACTCTTTCAGTCTTACTAGGAAGAACAGTTGTTGCTACCTGTGGACACAGGTATTTCAGGGATTCTGAAATGGTTTTATCAGCAATGGATTAGCCAAATGACATTACCCCCCTACTCTCACAGGAAATGCTTCAGAGACAAACTTCCTACAAAGGGCAGCAGGGAGTGTGCAGCTGGCGTTGGAGGAGCCATTGCTGGAGGCGTGGGTACAGAGTACCAGGCAGGGAGGCAGGAAGGATTTAGGACAGGGGATCTAGAGAGTGGTTAATCCTTTGGATATCTATGTTGTTTATTTTTTATTGTGGTA